CCCCAAAACCCCAAAACCCCAAAACCCCAAAACCCCTAAATCTCACTTATAATAGAAATTATCAGGTTAAAAATATGTCTCTCAGCACGAAGCGCTCGAAAGAACTAGAAGTTATGAAGGAGCAGAATTTATTCTCCACTAAACTATACCCAGTCAAGAAAGTTATCAGAAGAGCTAAGCTATTCGTCAAACAAAAGAGTAGCAACATGTACATGACTCTAAAAGTTGTAGGTAAATGAGATAATATTTAGAAAGATCAGAGTCGAGATAAACAGAACTTACTTAGAGTAGCACTCCCTACTAATGTAATGGCCATAATGAATCTAAATTTGAGTACTACAAAGAACAGAAAAGAAGCAAGAGAGAGTTTGGACCATATGATTGGTGCCAAGCTTATAAGGCTTGGGATTCACTTCAAGCGAGAAGAGATTTCAGGATCGCATTTCCATAACCAACTCGGTAATGCTTTAAGGTTGTTCCAAAAGAACGCAAGAACACATATGGCAGAGAGTGTACCTCTGAATGTTAATCTATCATGGCTAATTCTTTCTGAATCTCAGATGTTCAGAATTCTGTCTCATTCAGACATGCTCAATAGTCTGAAATTTAGCAAGTGAGTGCTACCTGTTCTGTACAAAGAGCACAAATTTGAAAAGAGATGAATGCTGAGCTCTCTAGACATCCTCAAGATCAGGAACAGGGAGTACGATGAAGAGGGCTTCAGAGAAAGACTCTTAGGTTCTATCTTAGGATTCATCACAAGAACTCCCCTACGCTTGTCTATCAAGAAGATGACTATTGATTTAGGCTTGGATTGAGAAGAGCTTAAAGAAATAAGAGCAGAGCATGGTCTGGAGGAGATCAGATTCGAGTATAATGATGCTTATGGAGAAGTCCCAAAAGATGGCAATACATAAGGTCAATTAAATGGGAAATTATAAATATATTTTCAATCGGCTTTCCGAAGATTGGGGTTTTGGGGTTTTGGGGTTTTGGGGTTTTGGGGTTTTGGGG